CCCTGTCAGTGTGCGTGTGTGTACAGAGATCTCCTGTGTACGTGCGGATGCAGGCCCTGTCAGTGTGCGTGTGTGTACAGAGATCTCCTGTGTACGTGCGGATGCAGCCCCTGTCAGTGTGCATGTGTGTACAGAGATCTATGTACGTGCGGATGCAGGCCCTGTCAATAAAACGCTGACTTCCCTGTAAGTGTAGGCAGAAAACAGAAGGTGGGACATGGGTAGAAAGAGATTCCGGGATAGCATCAAGTGTGGGAAGACTCGCCCTAGGACATGAGGGTGGAGCAGAGGTAACGGGCTGCAAGGCAAACAAGGAATAAGCGGGATGTTAAGCTCTGAGCTACACGGAGAACATTCCGTCTATAGCCATGGTGTTTTTAAGTATAAAGCCTCAGTCGGTATCTCTGGGATCAAGGGTGCAGCTTAACAGCAAACACCCCACTACACACGTCAGTGCAGGAGACAAACCTTCCATAGAGAGCTCCCAATAACCCTGGTGTGTGGGGCAGTTCCATGGAGACAGACCCCCCCACATCCAACAAGGAGCTACACCATGCTAAAATGTGATAGATGAAGGCAGGAAATACCCTCTCTAGAAAGGAAAGGAGAGAGCTGCCTATTTTAGTGAAGGAAGAAAGCTGAGGTGAGAGGGGTACAGGTGAGACAGACCACTCAACCCCAGTTCCACGTGACACTGAACACCGGCAGGAGACACTTGCTCACCTTTCTCTCCAAACGCTACTTTCATTTTCAGTTCTATGAAGCTCAAACACACTAACCACTGTAAGCATGGTCAAGCCACTCTCAAGGGGCAATCACAGCTGTGCAACAGCCAGAAAACCAGTGACAAGTGTAACTCGGCCCTGTGTGAGAATGTGAGATGCTGTGAGGTGGTGCAGAGACAGCTTTGTCGTGTGTGTGTGTACACGTGCGTATGAGTGATATCAGGGACTGAATTCAGGCCTTGTGCATCAAGGTAAATTCTATCAGACAAGCTAGCAAAAAAAGTCTCAATCCTGGAATTACACACCTCCATAGCTCAATGTCAAGGGGATGGTTTTAACGTATATGACACTATGCTCTCTAGGGAAGTTACTGGGAGGGACAGCTACGGGCAGTCACTGCATAGCTCACCTGCTGTGTGTCAGTCTGGCATCTAAAGCAAGGTTTGCCCGGACAGCCGCTGTGCACTTAACATGCTCAGTGAGCACTCTTCTCCACAGCAGCCATGATGGAGTCGGAGACTGGAAGAGGCTGATGCCTACCCTACTTCTACACTGTAAGACACAGACAACTCAGTATGATCCTGGGCAACCAGCACACAGCCACATCCTCTAATAATTTCTCCTACACAGCTCCTAGTCAAGTGGAAAGACTCAGGTTGTAGAATAAAGCTACAGGACACTGGCTTCGGCCTTAGAAGAATGAAACCTGTTTGTGCATGGTACCTTGAAGGATAAAATCTGAAACACTGGAATTCAGACACAAGAACTGCTTCTCACACACAAGCACCAGCAGCCAACAGCAACCACCACAAGAGTTTTAGGTCAGGAGAAAGGCAGGCTAGCCATCAGACAGTCTCCAGCACATCTGCAGAGCTATCTACTGAGTAAATGCTAGAGCAGAGGCTTTACAGAAAGCCAGACAGCTACTCTACAACAAGTGAGCGGCTGCCGTTGTCTTGGGACACTGCCTCTGTCTGCCTGCCTGCCTCCCCTTCTCCTCTCTCTAGCTTAGGCTAGACAGGTACGAAACACCTACCTACCTTCATTTCCCAAATACTGGGAGTCCCAGCACACTCACTGGGCCTACTGCCTTGTGGCAGGGTGTGGTGTCACATGTCACATGTGGTGGCATCATCTATAACCCAGACTGAGGAGGCCTCATGAGGTAAGAAGATGGCATACTTGAAGCTAGTCTGGCTATAGAGTGAGACCTTATCCCAAAATAAATATAAATACCCCATATCGATAGCTGGGTGGGCAAACTCTGAGCTGTAGGCCAGGTAGGGCTATATAGTAAGACTTTGTCTCAAAACAAACACATGGCTGGTGGGATGGCCAAGGAGACAAAAGATGTTTGACCCAAGCCTGAAAACCGAGTTCAATCCCCAGGTCCCACAGACGAAAGGAGATAGCACAGCACTCGGGCATCCACAGTAATAAAAGAAATGACATAAAAACATGTACTTAAAGATACTGGAGAGGGGCTCAGAGGTTAAGAACTCTGGCCACTCCTCCAGAGGTCCAGGGTTCACTGCCAGCAGCCACATGGCAGCTCACAGCTGCTTCCAACTCCAGCGTCAGAGTATGACACCCTCTTTTAACCTCCTTCGGAATCAAGCATGCATGTGTTGCTACCAAAATACCCATTCATTTAAAGATATAAAATATGTATTTATTTTTAAAAATACTAAGGAACTCATAGAAATATCATTTTTCCTCCTGTAAATATATAAGGCACTGGCATAACCTTAAAATAAATCATAGTTTTTTCAAAATCAAAATAATTTCAGAAGATAGCATGGTAGCATATGGTTAAAATTTCAGCACTTGCAAGGTAGAACAGGAAGATTGGAATCCCTACCTCAAAAAAAATGTAACTGAAGCCAGGTTTGGTGGTGCACGCCTTTAATCTCAGTACTCGGGAGGCAGAGGCATGCAGATCTCTGAATTAGAGGCCAGCCTGGTCTACAGAGTAAGTTCTAGGACAGCCAGGGCTACAAAGAAACCCTGCCTCAAAACCAACCAGAAGGAAGGGAGGGAGGGAGGGACGGAGGGAGGGAGGGAGGAAACCAACAGAAAACCGTATGTATGTCTGAGAACATTTTTAGTCTGTCATACGGAGTTTGCATGACTCTGAGGCGGTGAAAGAAGCTGAACTGGAAAGATCTCTGATGTACTTTACAGCAGGAGAATTTTAAGGTGAAAAAGAAATTGGGCAAAGTAAAAAGCAAAACAAAACAAAAACCCTAAGATGCTGGCTAAGCGTTTAAAGAAAAACCAAACACTGGAAATGTGAGCATGGTCCTGTGTCAGGAGCCTCCCTCAGAGCTAGCCGGCATGCAGACACCGTCTACAGTTGCTCCTGCAGTGTCTGTTATCTCAGCTTTCCTCAGGGGTCTCTCTGAACTAAGACAGCAAAAGAGCCACAACTGAGTCTCATACAGCAATCCTTACGTAAGATTCTAGTTTATTAAAGCAGGCACGGACGAGGACTGGCGTGTTACCCAGCGGCCAGTCTGGCCTACAAAACTTCAAATAAAACAAAACCAGTTAGCCGGTTTCCTCCTCACAATGAACTAAATTACAGAGAACAAGGAAACTCGATGTAAAGAAAGGTAACTTGGAGAAGCCTGCTCGGGTCATCTCCCATCAGACGGACGTGACTCAGGCACACCACACACTACAGCTTCAGCTAAGTGACACTGTTTGCCGAGCTTTCCAGTCCTCATTACGAAGAGTGGTAAGGGCCCCTCAGCCAAGAGGCAGAGTCTCAGTCAACAAGAGAGACACACAGAACTCAAGGACGTGAACCAGGAAGGCGGTAACAGACACCGTGTTTATCGTACCCATGTCCATGTCCCACCGTCACTGACAGACAAGTGAAGAGTGTGCTTTACTTAGTGACCGTTTAGCTTTGCCTTTGAGACTCGGTTGCCTGTGTGGTTCTGGCTGATGTGGCCTCTTTACATTTTAAGAAACAACCCAGCCTGACCACGCACCTGCAGCAATGCTCTAGCTGTGACCCGAGTGCTGGATTACAGTGGTGTGCACTGTGCTGTGTAACACAGCCCTTGGCAACTCCTTTCACACTCCTCATGTGCCTTCAGTGCCTCACAAACACTGCAGTGCAATCCGAGTCCTGTGGACGCACAGACAGGAGTTTCCACGGAGCAGACGCCATGAGCTCTGCCCTCTGCTAGGTCCAGGAGGTGCCTGTCCTCAAGCCTGGCAGAGTTGAGCTTACAGTAGAGCTCCAGAGGAGAAAACAGCACCCACAGCCTAGTTCCTAGTAGTAAATGAGAATTAGACCGTGTCTGCATGCAGCCAGAGACTAAACCTTCCTCTTCTTTAAGACAGTTCACTGGTGTCTGGTTGTTGTGCTGGTACGAGAAAATGTTACATTAGAAAATTCAGTCACTGGGCCAAGCAGTGGTGGCATATGCCTTTAATCCCAGCAGTTGGGAGGCAGAGGCAGGCGGATTTCTGAGTTCAAGAGTTCGAGGCCAACCTGGTCTACAGAGTGAGTTCCAGGACAGTCAGGGCTACACAGAGAAACCCTGTCTCGAAAAACCAAAAGAAAAAAAATAAATAAAGAAAGAAAAAAAGAAAGAGAGAAAGAAAGAAAATTCAGTCACACCAGTTGGTGGCACACCCCTTTAATTCCAGGCAGAAGCAGGAGAATCTCTATGAGTTCAAGGATAGCCTGGTCTACAAAGAAAAACCCTGTCTTGAAAAACAAAGCAAACCTTAGTCTGAAAATCACAGCCATAAGCTCCAGCATGCCCTTCTCATTCTAACTTTAAAACAAATAAAGAAACCAACAATTAACATATAAACCCCCATTATACACTTACCAGAATTCTGGATCCGCCATGTTTTTATGAACTGGGTGTCAGGGGGTATTGACTCCCCTTCTCCTATGGTGACATCTTCAACAAAGGACATGGAGGGCACACTGATATTCGGGCTCTCGAAGTCATAGTAGGCGCCAATGGCTGCTTGTAAGTTCCTATAGATAAAAGACAAGAGACTTCAGTCCACTCTAAGGGACAGTGCCTGAACTGTCAAACCTAACAAGAATCCTTTCTTAGGGTTGGTCACAGAGGCAGAGGCTCCCACTATCAGACCTTCAAAAGCCACTGGTCACTGCTGAGAAACTACTGGAAAAGCAGAGCCAACATACCTGTGCCACTCTCTTGTGAAGGCACCGCACAGAGGTGACAGACCACTGTAAACTACAAGCACAGACACAGAGATAGAAGAACACCAACTAAGAGTCTCTCCAAAGCCAGCCGTGGTTTAACTCCAAAGAGACTAAGAGTCTTCCCAAAGCCAGGCCGATAACTCCAGGATTTGGACAGAGGCAGGGAGATTGCCACTCTGTAACTTTGTTTTTAAAAGATTTGTTTTTATCATTTTAATTATGCATATAGGGGGGGTGTGTGTTCCCACATGTGTGTGCACACGGCACTGCAGATAACCACAGAGGCCAGAGGTAGCGGACTCCCTGGAGCTGGAGTTATAGTTGTGAGCCACCTGACATAGGTCCAAGGAACCAAACCTGCATCACCTGAAGAGAGCTGCAAGTGTCCTCACCTGCTAAACCACCTCTCCACATCCTCTATAAATTAAGGATAAAAACACAAACACTGGGTGTGGTGCCACATTCCTTTAAGGGATTAAAGTGTTCAGCACTTCAGAGGCAGAGGCATGAGGATCTGTGAGTTCAAGGCCTGCCTTGTGTGCATATAGAATTCCAGGATAGCTAGGAGACCCTACCTTCATAAAACAAAGCAAAATGAAACAACCCCTCAAACCATGTATTTACTGTACATGTGTAAGTCTGGGTGTGGGGTGTCATATACACATGTGGGGTGGATCAGACTGGGGTCACAAGGTTTGGTGGCAGCCATTCCTACCCACTGAGCCATCTGGATGGCCCAGGTTCCACTTTTAAATTGAATTTTTTTTTGAGTGTTCTTACCCATAGCAGATACCATTATACACTGCGCTTGTCTTTATTACTTTGACACTAGGTCTTAAAGATATTTCTGTCAGGAATGAGCAGTCTCTGTCAAGACTGAGTAGTCTGTCCCAGCTGAGTCACTGTAAGGTAAACCACTCCTTACCCAATGACTGCTGAGTGTTTCTAGGTTTCCTCTTTCACCCTGGACAGTCTCTCCAGTCAGTCTCTTATGGAGCGCTTCCTGGAGGGGCTGGATCCTCACTGCTGTGTAGCCTTCCTTCAGTAAGGAGACACAGAGCGAAGCTCACACTGCATCTGCAGCACAGCTGCTGCCCCATGCTGGATCTCTGCCTACATGACAAATAACCTGTCTCACTGATGGCTTAGGGTGCTTTCCTTTTTGCTGAGTGTGGTGGGTGAAGCCTGTACGCACTCAGGGGAATGAAGCAAGAATAGTAGAGTCTGGAGCTAGCCTCAGCTAAATATGATGACTGTCTAAAAACAAAAAAAGAAGTGACCACTGTTTCACATGTGTAAGAGCTGGGGTGCTGGGGAAGAGCAGACTCAATTCCCAGCAGCCATGCGGGAGCACACAACCTGTAACACTGGTTCCAGGGAATCTGACCCCCTTCCCCCCTTTCTGAGCTCTGAGGGCACCAGGCACGCATGCGGTGTACATATGTACACATAGGCAAAACACTCATGCACATAAAATAATCTTTAAAAATGTTTAAAAGGACTTATGTGTGGGGATGAAGAAGTGGCGAAGCGAGTGAGGTCCCTGACTGCCGCACGAGTGAGCCTGTGAGTTTGGCTCCCTAGAACCCAGGGGCAAAGCTAAGCATGGAAGGCAGAGATAGGCGGAGCTATCTTGGGCAAATTCAAGTTGAGACACCTTGTCTATAAGAGCTAGGGAGGGCGGGGTATGGTGGCACAAGTCTAACTCCAGCCATTCCTTTAATTCAAGAATTAATTAATTAGCCTGGTCCATATAGCCTGAGGTTCAGCCCATCCAGGGCTACACAGTGAGACCCTAACTCAAAACAAACTAAACAAAACAAAACGTTGAAGGAGGACAGCCATCTTTGCACCTCTGGCCTCCACACAAACCAGCGTGCATATACATTCACGAAAGACTAGGGGAGGGCACACCAGCCTGTAAATCTTAGAACGCAGGAAGTGGAGGTCAGATGATGAAGAACCAAGATCAAGCTGAGCTACATGAGACCCAGTCTCCAGTCAGAAAACGCTAAGGAAGAAAGCAAAAACGCCATTCATAACTTCCTCGGAAGAGCAGCTCGGTTAGCTGCCCCTAAGGAGCCAAGCACACCATCCAGAGTCCTGCAAACACAACAGCATTGCATCACGGCTGGTTCACAGCTCCAGCGCCAGAAACCAGAAGCCACAAAGACTGCTAAGTATGGTACAGAGCTCAAAGGCGTTACTGGCGATGATATTACGGGATTCTCTTCTGGTCTTACATCAGTAAGCTCACCACCAGCTCTCAGAGCAGACGAGCCAATCTGCAGGCTTCTCAGCATAAGCAACTGAACGGTGGAGCCCGTGGGCTGCTTCTGCCACGCACACACACAGTAGGAAACGACTGCAACACATACACTAGGAGCAACTGATACTTTGAGCACGGATCATGTGATGGCGGTGCATCATACTACTCAGTAAGGACTGGAATTACGACACCCGGCTGCCTGCCTGTCCCATGTGCTTGATGAAATTTACATGGAGCAGAGCTGGGCCAAGAGCCAACCTGCACCTGCTCACTCCCTGTTGCATACAAAGGCTTGGACTTTAGTCTTTCCAGCTCTTTCCTTTGTAGATAACAACGATCAAAACGGAAAACAGAGGCTGGTAAACCTGAGGGGCCACAGCCAGACTCCAAGCACATCAGCACGCAGCTCTGCCTTAAGGACTGAGAGCAAGTGTGTGAGCGGCAGCGCACTTTCAGCTTGCTCATTGGAAAGCATTAGTACAAGTTCTTTCTGCCTCAGTCTCTCTTGCAAGCAGCCTGCACTGTCTTCTGCTGGGAGGGACAAACTCTTGCCCATTCAGGAGAATCAGCAATTCTCACTGTCATCTGTGTCTTGTCTTACCCGACGGTGTGCCATCAGGTCAGCCTCCCGGAGCACTGGAGATGGATGGACCACTAACAAGAGCAAAAGTCACACTCCCCTTACTAGGCAGAAATGTTCCCCTTCCTCAAGCCCCTCCACGAACCCCCAATTCATCCCACAGCCAAAGCAAGCAAAACTGCTTCCTCACCCACACCTGCCTGGTACAGGTAATTGAGCCAGCAAAGACCAAGGGCCCTATTAAAGCCTAAACTTACAATGAGTAAATCGGAATGGAGAGAGGTGACGGAACAAGTCACTTCCTAGACACTGCAGAAGCTGACTGCAGCCATCAGCCATGGCTGGGCACGCCTCCTCAGGGCTCCAGTCAGATTACTGCTCAGATCCTGGGCCAGCAAGAGCCAGATTAGCTCACGTAGCTCTCATTCAGTGCCAGCATGTACGCTCCTGTCTCCAAACTGCTGACCAGGAAGGAAGAACACTGGCTGCAAGAAAGCCTCCGCCCCAGCCTTCCTCAGAGTTTCTAGACAGAAGCAGTCTTCAATAAAAGCTCATCCAGTTAAAAACATCCTGAAGATGCTCGCCGTGGTGGCGCACACCTTTGATCCTATGGTTCTGGAGGCAGAAACAGGTGGTTCACTGAGTTTGAGGCCAGCCAGATTTACACAGTGAGTTCTAGGACAGTCAGGGCTACACAAAGAAACTGTCTCAAACAACTACAGCACAAAAACCTGACAAACGAGGAATGGGCAGTGGGGAAGGGGAATACCGCAGGACCTGTTCTGTCTGGGATGTCTGGGATGACTGAAGTGCTACACTCTGTCACTGCCACAGACATTTTTATTTTTTTCAAACAGAGTCTCAGTACGAACCCCTGGCTGTCCTGGAACTTAGACAAATAGATCAGTTTGGCCTTAAACTCAGAGACCCACTTGTCTGAGTCCCAAGTGCTGGGTCTCAGTACCAGGAAGGCAGAGGCAAGAGGAGGACTATCACAAGTTCAAGGCCAGTCTGGGCTACATACCAAGATTGTATACCCCCCCAAAAAAATTTAGAATTGAAAATGTTGTGTGAATTTTAAACATTGTGTGTTCACATGAACATATACTGAGCGTCCCAGCAGAACAATGTGAAGGTCAGAGGACACCTTGTTCAACCTGGTCCTCCCCACCCAACACTGCGTGACTATGCGTGCTGAACTTGGGTCATCAGGCCTGAAGGCCAGCGCGGTTGCTCACAGGGCCACAGGGCCGCAGACACGGCTCAGCAGTTAAGAGCACGAGCCGTTCTTCAGAGGACCCTGATTGAATACCCAGCATCCACTTTGTAACTCCAATACAAGAGAACCCAACACCCTCTCCTCCTGGCCTCTGTGAGCATACTGTGTATGTGTGTGTGTATATGTGTGTGTGTGTGTGCGCGTGTGTACATGCATGAGTGTGTATTGTTACACAGATTCGTACAAAATACTCATATACATTAAAAAGCAACAATAAATAAGAATACGAGCTGGGCACTGTGGTGCATGTTTGTAAGCTCAATACATGAAAAGCAGGACAGAAGGATCAGGAGTTTCAAAAGGCCAGCCTCCACTACGTATCGAGTTCAAGATTAAGTAGGACCACTTGAGACCCTACCTGCTCTCATGTACAGGGGAATTTAGATCAACTGAAGCAAAAGGAGATGTCTAACCAGACATGGCAGTTAACGTCTGCAGTCGCAGTGCTCGAAAGGTTAAGGGAGGAGGACGGTCAGGAGTTTGGGGCCAGCCTGGGCTATACAGTAAGTTCTAGGTTACTAGCCTGAGCTATAATATGAGACACTACCCCACCCCCCAGGAGAGAGGACATGAAGGGGACTGGTAAGGTGGCTCACTAGGTAAAGGCATTTGCTGCCAGGCCTGACGACTTAAGTTCCGTCACTATAACCCAACTAGCAGACGGAGAGGCTGCACCT